AACCCCCTTCCCCTCCCCCTTTTCTGATGAAGGGTCTAGGCCCGAAACGTCAGCCTCTCTGCTCCTATGATGCTGCTTGGCCTGCTGTGTTCATCCAGCCCTGCACCTTGTTGTCTCGGATTCTCCAGCATCTGCAGTTCCTACTATCTCATCTACGCTGACCCAGGTTTCTACACTGAACTAGTCCCATTTGCCTGTGTTTGGCCCATATTCCCTATAAACCTTTCCTATCCATGTACCTGTCTGGCCTCAAGAGCCTCGAGGTGCAGCACAGCCTCTCAGCCTCATCGTGGACTCCCGGCCTCAAGGTGAATCCAGAGTGGACTCCCGGCACGCATGGCCTTGAGAACCTCGAGGTGAATGCCAGTGTGGTTTGGAGGCGAGGGCCAACAAGGACTGGCACGGACTGAAGATGAAGCCTGGTGCAGGCTGCAGGCCAGGTGCCAATGCAGACTGGATTGGAAGGACTGTTATTCTGAAATTTTAATTTCCTTATTTTTCTAATTTTTTTCTAAGTTGCTGGAAAAGCTCATCAGGTCTGGCGGCATCTATGAAGAAAAAATCAGACAATGTTTTGGGTCTGGTGGCCCTTTTTATTTCTTTATTTTCGTAATTTTTCCCAAGGATTTGAACTTAAGAATCTGTACCTAGTTACCTCCGTATCGAAGATGGCGCCATAATGGGTGACTTGTAAACTTTTCCCTGTACTTATGTGAGTACTGACAATAAAGTTAATTCTAATTTTACTCGCCTCTACCATTTCTTCCAGCAGCTCATACCATATACACGCCACTCTCTGTGTGAAAAAGTTGCCTTCAGGTCCCTTTTAAATCTTTCCCCTCTCACCTTACACCTTTGCCCTCAAGTTTTGAACTCCTCTACCCCAGGGAAAAGACCTTGGCTATTTACCTTATCTATGCCTCTAGTGATTTTATAAACCTCTAGAAGATCACCCTCAGGCAGCTATACTGTAAGACCAGATAGAGGACATAAGTTTAAAGTGAGGAGCAAATGGTTTAGAAGAGTTATGAGAGAATTTTTTCACCCAGACTGCGGTAGAAATATGGAACGTGCTACCCAAGATGGTGAAGGAGATTCTGTCGCAACATTTTAGCATCTGGATGAGCACTTAAAATGCAAGGGCATATGAACCAAATGCAGGTAAATCAGATTAATGTAGTTTAGTATTGGTTGGTCAGCATAGACATGGTGGGCCCAAGGGTCTGGTTCTATAGTGTATGACTTTGAATCGAAATGTTAAGTCTGTTTTTCTCTTTCCACAGATGCTACCAGAATGTTTTTTGTTTCCGATTTCCAGCATCCGCTGCTAATTTCAGACCTGACCATATTGTTCTGATTCCACATGTGGATTTTTACACTGCACTCAGTGGGACAGGTCGGGAAACAGATCAAAAGAGGGAGAGAGAAAAACAATACAAAGGGGGCGGGCGAAATACACAACGGTTTCCAATGGGTTGAGTGGATGTGAGAGACAAGTTTCACTTCCCCCATGGTGAGCGGTATTGGCTGACATAACGTTGAGTGTTAAGTCTCCGCCTCTGACAAGCAGAGAGATCCCGGTGAAGAGAGCAGCATGGGGAAGGGAAGCCGGGGCTTGGCTCTGTTTGCATTGGTGGAATAAAGAGTTGGCGCTTGCCGGACAGAGTGAGTTTTTAATCCCGTCAGGGCTGGTGTTGAGCCGGCTTGGCCAGCGAAGCAGAGGGCAAGTGGAGTGAATGCTTGTTCCTCACTGGATCCACACGCCCCAGTGTAGACCGATGCTGTGATACAGTGCGAAAGAGAAGGAAGCTGAAGGCAGGGCGCATAAATGAAGACTGAGACATGGAAAGTGGACGAAAGACTATAGCAGCGCTGTAGAAGGACGGGCGAGCCGTACAGAGGTCACAAAGGTACTGGTGGTAGTGGGGAAATTGTTTAAATAGCGCTTCCCTCTGAGAACCCGGAGACTCAAAAAGGAGACAAACACAGAGGTCGAAGAGGACACTGCAAGGACTGGGCAGCTAACTGGCAACTGGGAAAACCGACTCGATTTTTGTTGAAAAAGTCTTTACCCCGAGAACACTCAGTAAGTACGAACACATAACCTAGTGTCGTGTGATTTTCTGACCTTCAGCATTACTTGATATGCTGTCCACTGCCGAGGAAGCCATATGGAGGCGGGAGGACTCTCATCTCCCTCCCCTCCCCTTGAGTATGAATGCCAGAGAGTGAACAATGTGATTAAAATGAGCTGAGCTCGATTATCATTAGAATTGGAGGCTGACTGTCAGTAACAGCGTCTCGGTGAAATGAGAGCGCTTTTGTTTTTCTGTGTGCGTTTTGTGTATTTCTTTAATGCCGCTAGCCTGCCCATTTCTTCTGTCGGCGAGGGGTGTTATTTTTAAGAAATTGCAGTTCCAGCACAATGGAAAGTGGACGGGTTTCCAGTCCTCTTTGCTGTTTGCAATGTGGTGACAAAAGGAGAGCTGAACGATTGATTGTGGTGTAATGAGGCTGTGTGTGTGTATGGCGATTGGATACACAGACATGTCTCCAGTATTCTGCTACATGTGGTGGCTTAAGTAACAAGGCATACCTTGATTGAAGGTGTCATCAACAGTGCTATCAAGCAGCATCTGCTCAGCAATAACCTGCTCACTGATGCCCAATTTAGGTTCTGCCAGGGCCACTCAGCTCCTGACCTCATTACAGCCTTGATTCAAACATGGAACAAGAGAGCTGAATTCCAGAGATGGGTTGAGAGTGACAGACTTTATCTTTGAGGCTGCATTAGACTCAATGTGGCATCCAGGAGCCATAGCAAAACTTGAATTAATGGGTATTGGGGCCAATCTCTCTGGAGTCATGCCTGGCAAGTAGGAAGATGGTTGTGGTTGTTGGAGGTCAGTCATCTCGGTTCCAGGACATCTCTGCAGGAGTTCCTCAGAGCAGTGTCCTTGTCCCAATCATCTTCAGCAGCTTCAATGACCTCCTGTCTATCATAAGATCGGAAGTGGGGATATTTTGCTGATGATTACTGAACATTTTGCATTCACAACTCAGATATTGACGCAGTCCACAGTCAAATGTGATAAGATCTGGACAATATCCAGGCTTGGGCTGACAAGTGGCAAGTGTGGCACTGGTGTTACAAATACCACATAATGACCCTTTCCGATAAGAGATAATCCAACTATCGCCCCTTGACATTCAATGGTGTTGCCGTCACTGCACCAAATCCACAAACATCCACTCTCCACCATCGACACTCAGCTGTGTGTACGATCTAGAAGATGCATGACAGAAATTCACCAAAGATCCTGAGACGACACCTTCCAAACCCATAATTACAAGGGCAACAGGTAGATGGAAACACCACCAAATGCAAGTTCCCCTCCAAGCCACTCATCATCCTGACTTGAAAATATATCACTAATTTCCTCCCTAAGGGCATTCTGAGTCAACCCACAGCATGTGGACTACGGTGGTTCAAGAAGGCAGCTTGCTACTTACTACCTTTTTCAAGGGCATCTAGTCACCAGCAATAATAATACTGGCTCAGCCAGAAAAGCCCATGTCCCATACACGAATAAAAACAACAGTACCTGAGTTTTATAAATAGAGGTTGAAAGCAAGGATGTTATGATTTAAAAAATAATTGGTTTAGCCTCAGCTGGGGATATTGTCCTATTCTGTCTCCTGCCCTTTGGGAAATGTACCCAGGCGTTCAAGGGGGCAGAAAAATATTGAGAATGATGCCAAAGCTGAGGGATTTTGGTTACGTTGGATAGATTGGGAAATGACACCAGCTTCCGTGGAGAGGAAATTTGGTGCTCAAAATTGAGAGGAGTCTGAGCATAGTAGAGAAAGAAGAACTTTTCCACTGGCAGAGGACACTAGATTATAGGTGACTGACTATTGATGACAGGAGGAGCTTTTTTTATTGCTCATTAAGAGGTTGGGATACACAACTTAAGAGTGTGGTGGGGGCAGATTTCAATTGTGGTTTCCAAAAGAAGTGGGCCGTTATCTGAAGATAGACAAATTTCAGGGTTAAGTGATAGGAACAGGGGTGTAAAATGGGCTGAGTGCTCTTGCAGAGAGCTAGTGTGGGGACATGAAGGGCCCAATGGCTGTCTTGCATGCTGGAGCCATTCTGATTTTTTTTTTAATGTGTGAAAGAGGTATAGAGAGAAAAAAGCAGGCTGGTTTAAAAACAAACTAAATGCCTGCTTTAGTGAGTCCTGTCTAATCCTAATGGAAACTGGCTCAGCTGTTTTTAAATCACTTTGACCATGAGCAGTTGTCAGTCTGAAATTTGAGCTGATACTTCAATTCAGTCCTTTTTTTTTTGTCGTTTTGCCTTGTGATGTTTGTATAGCACATTGCAATGACACCAGAAAGCAGGAACTGCCTTTTTGTCCTGTACCACACTTCACTATTTGATTGGGGTGCAGATTAATCCAGTCAATCTCAGGTCGCTTGGCTAACTTTGACTGACTGACTGGAAAACAGCTGAGCTGTTCAGGTTTGGAGTGTTCTGCCTCACTGCCTAGTCGTGACTGCTTTCAGCTCTGATGGTGCGAAGAAAGAAAACTGCTTTTGCTTGTTTTGGCATCACAGACTAATGTTTATATTCCACCAACATTTAAGTGGGTAGCATCAGCTAAACTAGGCCAGCAAGCTTGCATTTACAGGGGTGATTAGAGTTGTCGTGAGCAGGTTGGGGAGTGGAGGAAAGGAAATCACACAGGAATCCTTTGCTGAATACATACCCAAATGGATGTTGGGTTACAGAAGGATCAGCTGTAGTCCTCTGTCAGTAAAGTAGCTGCTGGTAGTCAGTTAATGGCTGCTTGCTCCCCAGAGGAGATTCTGACTCTATGAAATCACTTTGTTTATGGAATGCAGTATTTTTACATTTTGGAAGTTACGCCTGCAAAGAAAATGATCAAGCTGTGCATAAAATGAAGCAGTTTAAAAAATCTAATGGCATAACATGTTTAATATCTTCTCTGTTCATGTATAGTTCGTTCTCATCGACATGCATGTACCTGACTTTATTCTAATGACATTGATTATGGAAGCAGATGTTTACTAAAGGTGGAGACTAGGACTCAAACGCAGGGGGCTGGAAGAAGAAAATCCACCAGTTTGCTTTGTTTAAAAGCCTGCAATAGAAGGCTGTTGTGTTTTTGACCTGTGTCCTTTTCTGAAAATGAAGGAAATAGGTTCAGGGTTGACTGGCAGTAACTATGAGCTGAAGTGCTGAGAATCAGCAGACCACTTTGCTGCAGGACCCCTAGTATGTTGTACATACCTGGCAAACTGATTCATTTACTTTGCAGAAGAGGTTTCTGGTTTGAAGAAAGAGAATAGGAATTGGCTAATTGAACACACACTGAGCACAGTACCACTTAGTAAGCTGCATGCCATAGTCTGTCACCAAGCAACATCTTTACAAATAACCCATTCTAATTCTTTTGTCAAATCCAATGCAGACTAGATAATGTGCCAGAAAAGAGATTCTGTAGATGGATGTATAAATATTTTTGATTGTTTGTTTTACATCAAAAAGTGGGAGCTGAGGCTGGGGAAAGGGGAAGTGTATGTGATGATGTTGTCAAGTACTGTTTATTGATTTGATTGTGGAGGAGTCCTTGAAATAGGCATTCCTGTGTACACTGTGGTGGTCAAAAATGGAATTTGATAAAAGATGGACTGAAAATGAATGTAGTAAAAAGAGGCAATTCAGAGAAGGTCCACTAGATAAGTTCCAGAGATGAAAGACTTGGTTTATGAAGAGAGATTAGAACGCAGGCCTAAACTACTCAGTCTAGTGAGAATAGGCCTAATGAGACAAAATCAGTTTAAGGTATATAAGATGTTTAAAGGGGTTGATAAAGTAAATGTAGAGTGGATGTCTCCCCTTGTAAGTAATCTAGAATGGGAGGTCATAGTTTTAGGCTAAAAGGTGACAGTTTTAGATCAGATGAGAAATTACTTCTTTCAAAGGGTCATGAATCTGTGGGGCTTGCTACCCCAAAGTATGGTGAATGTTGGGACACTGCATAAATTTGAGGAAAGACTGATTCTTAATCAGTAATAGTTTAAACAGTTTTGGGGAGCAAGCAGGAAAGTGGAGTTGTGGTCGGGATTGTATTAAATGGTGGAGCAGGCTTGAGGGTTTGAATGACCTACTCCTGCTCCTAGTTTTTGTTCTAAAAGGTATCCCTATACTTTGTGTAAGAGAAATTGTCAGCTGTTTGTCTGACACAAAAGGATATGCTTATTAATCACTCAAGTTTCATTGCAATTCCTGGATTCATTCACACAATCATTGTTCTTTTAGTTTTTTTACCTGCATTTGTTCAATTTTATTGTGGAGTGTAAAAGTCAGTCTTGGCCTTGAAGAAGAGAAAACAACATTTTTTCTCCTGGTATATTATATCACCTAAGACTGCCTAATTTCACCCCTCTATCATTGCCTATCTCTGACCCTGCTTTGCCTCGGGTGTTCCAGTTGTAATCCATGCCTTTTATTCCCACTGGATTTGATTATGCCAATGCTGTCCCATCTGGCCTCCCTTGAGATCTGCTATATCTGCTGCCCCTTAATCAATCTAGCAATAAATTGTTCACCCATCACCCCTGTGCTTTGTGACCTATATAGGCTTTTGATCTGGCAATGCCTCAGTTTTAAAAGTTGCCTCCTTGTTCCCAAGTCCCTCTGTGCGCTTGACCTGCCCTATCTCTAGAATCTCCTGCAGCTCTTTTTTTTGAGGTATTGGCACACCTCCAATTTTACCACTTGTGCGCATGCCACTGATTTTGGTCTCTCCCATCCCTTAGCCACCTCAATCCTAAGCTTTGAAATGCTGTCCCTGAACTTTCCTCATGTCTTTGCCAATCTGTTCTTTTCTCGATGCTCCTTTTAAACCTCATCACCTGTCTGAAAATGATCTTGATTCTTTGCATCAAAATTTGTTGGATCCACTGAATTGGGTTGGATTGCTTTGCTGTGTTTGAGGTGCTTTTATAAATACCAGCTGATATTTGTGGCACAAGATCATTAGGATCATCAGT